GAAAAGTAAAACTGGAGTTGAAGTTGCTAATGCATTTAATAAAATCTTAAAAATTAGGAAATGCGATAAATTATGGGTTGATAAAGGTTTGGAATTTTATAACAAACATGTTAAAGCATTAGGAGTTCATCTCTATTCAACTGAAAATGAAGAAAAAAGTTGCGTTGTTGAACGATGGAATAGAACAATGAAAGAAAAAATGTTCAAATACTTTTCAGCTAATTCTACGAGAAAATACATTGATGTCTTAGATGAAATGGTAAATCAATACAACAACACAAAGCATTCTTCAATTAAAATGACTCCAGCTGAAGCAAGCGATAAAAAGAATGAAAATAAAATTTGGTTTAATCTAAATGGTAAAGTAAAATCAAATCCTATTCAACCTAAGTTTTCAATAGGTGATAAAGTGAGAATAATTAAAAAGAAAGGAGCGTTTGAAAAAGGATATACACCAAGATGGACTGAAGAAGTATTCACAGTATCACAAGTTCAGTACACAGATCCACCTACTTATAAAATAACTGATTATAATAATGAAGAAATACAAGGTACTTTTTATGAACAAGAACTTCAAAAAACAAGTCAAGAGATATTTAGAATTGAAAAGGTTATTCGTAAACAAGGAAATAAATCATTTGTAAAGTGGTATGGGTATCCTGATACTTTTAACTCATGGGTTAATAATAAAGAATTGAAAAATTTATAATTATCTTGTATATATAAAAATGCAAAACTCCAATGTAAATGTGAATATATGTGTATCAGCTACTTCTGGCAATGCTAATACAAATACTACTGTAACAACAACAACTTCAAATTACAACTCTAGCAAATGATGTAAGATAAAATTTATATATTTTACAAGAAAACTAAAATAATTTTTTAAAATGAGTTAAATAATTTTCTTTTCTATATAAAAAGAATGGAAAACGAAATGCAAAACAAAATAATTAATCCAGCATTTTTACACTTAACAGAAGGATTAGATCAAATGAATAGAGATTTTAAATTAAAATATGAAAAAATTCAGAAAAGAAACAAAAAATCAGAACTAGATTTAGAAATAGAACTCATAAAGAGATATTTACCCTTATTAAATGGATTAGAACAAATGAGTAGAGATGTAAAATTAAAATCTGAAAAATTCAGCAAAGAAACAAAATCAGAACTAGATTCAGAATTAGATTTCATAAAGATAATACTAACTCATATATTTATGAATAATCTTAAAAAAGAAGATGAATTAAAATTAAAATTAATAAAACCAGTATTATTAATATTAAAGAGAGAAATGATATCAACAAGGGATATGTTGTTAAAAATATGTGATGATGAAAATGTAAAAAAATTAAAGTTAAAAGCAGATTGTATAATAGAAATGATAAAAATAATAATGTATGATTTCTAATCCCAACGTATTGCACACGTGACCTGTGACGTCACGCAATAGAAACAAAATTGATACTAATTTTTTAGCGTAGCATTGATCACGAAGTGACCTAAAAAATTATTTCTTAGTTATATAACTTATACACACTATGAATGATAATGAATCATATATTTAATTAAATATATGATTGAAAATATGGTTGAAAATGAAAAATGTCCCCGAACCGGCATTTTCTATCTACTAAAACATTTGGCCATAAAAAAGACTCATGTCTAATAAATGCAAGTTACATAAACAAAAAGTATAATAAAACATAGTTGTTAACATATTTGTTTAACCAAAAGAAACATATTGATGTAAATATTTTGCTTCAATTGCCAGTAATTCTTCCTCATCTAATTAAAAAAATATCCTTAAAGGTGAACTTGCTGTTGGGATAAAAGGAACTGTTTTAACAATGACCATGTTTTGTGTAATTTCTATATATGGTTTTTCTATACATGCCCAGACATATAAGTCTATCAACATCTAAAATAATATTTAAGGCAATTAAATTGGCTGTTCAAAGTAACCCTATTTATTATCAATTTCTGGCATAAATAAAAAAATGGATTAAGTTTTTATGCTGTTGTTATTATTGATATTATAACTATAAATGTTTCAAATTTTTTATTTATATTTGTTTCTAGCCAATATAAAAAAATAAGATCATTAAACAAATGATTTCATACTGTATTTTACTAATTTTTTCATATGAATTTTTTATTATAAAAGTTACACTTAAAGTATTATGCTGCACATAAGGGTTCTTCCATAAAGAATGTACGCCGGTATAAGGGAAAGAGGAGTTACCAAAAATGTTTGAATGGGTACAAGGGGAGAGGTTGTTTAAGTCAGCGTATGCAGTTTAACTAGTCCTTGTTCTCAGAGGAAGGTGGGATTTAGGAAGTAGTAGTTTTATGTTGTACGTACTTATGGATATATCACTTTTGTTTTTACATTAATAGAATATACCTTATTAAATTTATTTATTACATTTTCTCATGTTACATTTTCACATTTATCTCATTACATTTACTAGCAATCATTAAAATGTAACATTTAGTTTTATTTCGTCATATGGAAGCTATGTCTCTAAACAAAGTTTTTTTTTTTAATGTCTTAAATTTTTGTCCAAAGTTATTCCATGTTCAAATTAACTCCAGTTTACAGTTTGAAATATTGTTTTTAAAAAGTAGTTCTGGATGTACCAGTACAAGTCTTCCCAGGAAAGGCGTGCAGTTTTTCGTCTCGTACAAGCAGGAAAACGTTTTTTCTATGCGTTGCTGAAAAATTGTTTTAAATTTAATAACTACATAAGAAATTAAAGTAAACTTAAATAGAAAACAATAATAATAGTTTAAATAATTTGTATGTTGTTTTTATTTTTATTTTTTCTTAGTAGTTATTATTATCGGCAACAAAATTCAGTAACTCAAAGCAAAAAAAAAAAAACAAAAAAAAGGCAATTTTAGGCGTTAAAAAGGATGATTTTCCTATATTTTATGTGTTTTTTCTTTTAAAGAGGAAAGAGAAAATATGTATTGTCATCTGTTTGTAAAATATATTTGTATAATTATAATGTAACAAGTATATATCAAGAGTTAAATTATATGATCCCGATTTGCAAACTCTGGTTAAATATTAGGTCTTTAAAATTTTAGTTCATGCAAAGCTGTGTACTTTGTTTATAAGGAGCAATTTATTAAAAGTTTGCTAGCGAGAAAGTTACAAAAAATGCATTATCAAAGTAATAAAACTATAATAGTGTTATTACATTTATAAAGCACTTATTAATTCTAAAGTTCATTCTTTGTTCAAACAACATTGTTAATTCCAAACATTTATTAAAGTAGAAAAGCATCTAGAAAAAATAAATCGGATATTCAAATATTATCAAAAATTTCAGGAACTTTCACATATCACTTAAACAACATTATAAGAAAGTACTTTATAAAAAGTCTAGCATTATGAAAAACGTTACATAAAAATGCGCGTTAATTTTAAAATCAACCAATAAAATTTTTTTATTAGTTAATTTTAAAACTAACGTGCATTTTTCCATTAGTAACATTTTTTATAATGCTAAACTTTTAATGCGATACGTTTTCATAAAGTTGTTTTTCACGTTTTTATAAGTTATTTAAGTTTTAATATTATTTGAACATTCACTTTATTCTTCTAGATACTTTTCTACTTATATTACGTAATAGATTGGGGTTCACAGTGGCTTGTGAATTTCAACTATAACAAAACCCAGTTGTTTACTGCAAACAACTACCGTTACTGAGTCCTCCTCTTTATGTCTTCTTGGATTATCCTCTTACTGAGTCCTCCTCTTTATGTCTTCTTGGATTATCACTTACTACTGACCTTTCATGGAAACCATATATACAATCAATTGCTAAATTAGCTTCTGCTAAAGTTGCTTCTCTTTATCGTGCTCGCCATTTCCTTACTTCTGATTCCATTCTCTACCTCTACAAATCTCTTATTCATCCCTGTATGGAATACTGTTGTCATATTTAGGCTGGTTCTTCTAACGATTCACTTTCTCTTTTTGACAAGGTCCAAAAATACATTGTAAATGTTGTTGGACCTGGACTATCTGCTAAGCTTGAGCCTCTTTCCCATTGTCGTAAAGTTGCATCTCTTTCTCTTTTCTACAAATACTATCATGGTCACTGCTTAAAGGAGTTATCATCTTTAGTTCCATCAACTAAAATTCATTCTCGTTTTACTTGTCATTCAGCTAAGTCTCATTCGTTTACTGTATCTGTCCCTGCATGCTCTAAAAACTTTTATTCTTTATAAACATCTATTTATATACATCTAGTTTTTTTCCCCGCACTTCAAACCTTTGGAACTCTCTCCCATCTTCATGTTTTCCTGACTCATACAACCTTCAACTTTTCAAGTCTTCTGTCAACTGTTTCCTAGCTCTATAACTCTGTTCTTTTTTTTCCTAGTAACTTCCAACTTAATAGTGGTTGCTTGTAGCCTTGTTGGGAGTGAATGCAAATAAAAAAAAAAAAAAAAAATTCAATTAAAATTTGGGAATACTTATATTGTTTGAACAAAGAATGAACTTTAAAAGTAATAAGTGCTTTATAAATGTAATGACACTATTATAATTTTATTACTTTTATAATGCAGTTAGTGACTAAAGTGTTATTACCTTTGTAGTTGTAAGTTAATTATTTTTGTTTTGTTTTTTGTAACTTTCTTGCTAGCTTTTAATAATTTGCTTTTATAATCATATAATATAAATTTTAATAATCAATTTTAATAATAATAAATTTTAATAATAAATTTGCTTTTATAATCATTATAATATAAATTGTAATAATCAAGCTTTTAATAATTTGCTCCTTATAAACAAATTACACAGCTTTGCATGAACTAAAATTTTATAGACACATTCTCTAACTTGAAAAACGTTTTCGTGGTCGTACGAGACGAAAAACCGCACGCCTTTCCTGGGAAGGCTTGCAGTACACTTAACAATAGAAGTAGCGTTGTGTGAGACTCAAAAATTATTTTGATTATTATACAAATTATTTTATAGAGTGTTGCAGTACGTTCAAAAGTCTAAAGAAAAATTCTCAACAAAGTATTCTTCGTAATCTTTATCAGGTAAAATGAATTTAGTAAAAGTAATTGTGAAAATCAATTTTTAAAAAACAAAGTGTTAAAAATAAAATCTAAACTTTTTCTAAATTTTAATCTAAAATTTAATCTAAAATTTACTACAGCCAAGAATTATCATACTATATGTAGTTTTGACCATACCAGCCAAGAACTTGTTGCGTTGGTTTGACAAGGTTCTAACTGACATTTTTTGAGATTATGACTTTATGACTATTTTTATCCAACCAAACAAAATAAAGTAAAATTTATTGCGATCTAGCGTAAAATAAGCCAACTACCGATGTGCCAAAGTTCTATAAATTCTTCTATAAATATTAGTTAACTAAACCTGCAGGGTAAGTTAACTAATATTTAGTTTGACAAGGTTCCTACTAACATGTTAGGGTAAACCTTAACTGCATACTATTCTAAATATTTTTCAGTTAAGTACATTATGATAGAAAATACATGCTCATCAAAAATCATATAAAAACATTGGTCTCAATATTTACGTATAGTGCTCTAGCTTGACATTAATGTAAAAAAAAAAAATGTTGCAAAAATGCTAATATTTGCTATTTTTTATAAATCTTATTTATAATGTTAAAATGCACAACAAAAAGTGTTGGTTTCTATCAGCGTTGAAATAACTATTAAAAACAAAAAGAAATGGCTTTTATTAGGTCAAACACTTTTTTAAAAACTAATAATAACAATCCAGCTTTCTCACAAACTTATTGTTAGTGGATGTAAGTACATTTTGCCCCGCATATCCTTAACTGTCAGTCAATATAAGGGCGTTAAACTGTGTCTAGCCCCAATGGTCAGTCTTGCATGTTTATTACCCATCACTAATAATGACTTAAGTCATGCATGTTTATTACATATCTCTAGCGGTCAGTTAATAAATATATAATTTTGAATATAGTTGATGAACAAAATTTCAATTTTCTACATCATATACATTAGTGATATTTTAAAAATTGAACAATTTGTAATGAAATATTTATTAGCAATGTTAAAAAGTAGGCTTTAATTTAAATTATATTAAAAAAAGAAGTTATAATATAAAATCTTTAAAATTATTTAAAAAGACTTTTAAAAGTTTTGTAAGTTAAGATAGTAATGTTGGAAATAAAACTATTTTTTATGAAAGAAAGCAGAATGTGATTAACTGCATATTATACAACAACCAAACAACAATACTGAGCATTATGGACTGAATCAATGGTGGACAATACCAGCAAGCATTTTTCTAGTGCTATTTACTAGATGTTGGATGTTGCAGCTTTGAAAAGCCACATGAGCAACTTAGTTACTTGGTCTAACTGTTGCGTCCCTCAAAATCGGAACAGTATAATATCAAATACTGTGTTACGTTTTTTAAGGGAGACTTGCATTAACTTAAACACTACAAAATAATTACTTTCTAGTCATTTATTTGTCCAGAAAGTGGATCATGCGCATAATTAAATTGAAAAGCTCACAAAGATAGCTGATTTTTATAGACCATTTGGGTTGATAAGCACCCTTAAACAAGTTAACAAAAAAAACCTCATCATTAATGTTATTCAAATAAATCCACAAGGCTTGGGCTATTGTTAACAGCAAAGCTAACTACAAGATCAAAAAAACTACAAGTAAAAAAAAACTACTTTTTCTAACATTGCTGTGCTAAATTTATCCATGATTGAAATGATTGTATGGCTTGTGCTAATGTCAAATTTATTGAAATAACCTAACAGAAAAAATACCGGCACTAGCTCATCAACTAGTAGAGTTTTGAATGTTAAACCAAAGGTTTAAACTTGCACAATTTAAGGCTGTATTTTCTTTTGTGTTACTCCAGGACCGAGAATACTAACCAATGGTTCTTCATCTATAAAATGACAGGATGCAATGAAAAGCTTTTAAGCCTTAACGTAATGGTTTTTAAATATAATATAACAATTGAATCTTGTTAGATAATATGGTATTTACCATTTATTATACTATTGTTTCAGTTACAAAATTTAAATGTAGTTAACTACTTCAATCACAAAATTTTAAAGTATTTATAACTACGTTATAACTGCAGTTAGAACCTTAACATAGTGAAGATATGACTATTTCACTATGACAAGGTTCTAACTGGATTCTGGAGGTATTTATTTTTTAATGAAGAGTGAAACATTTTTATTACAAATAGTGAAACTAAAGGTAAATGCATATGTTATCATGGGTGAAAAATATTATCAATTGATGAAATTAAATTTTTATGAATAAATTTTTAGAAACATAACAAGTTTTGACATTGATTTACTCAAAACTACTCACGGATCAGTTAGAATTTTGTCAAACCAATGCAACAAACTACCTAACTATATGTAGTTTTTGGCTGTATTAAATATAAATTCTTGTACTCTATTGCAACCTGCCTCATGTCCTGCTGATTTTTAGAATTCTTTTTTCTTGGCGAAGGCTAGAAGAAGTTAACTCTGAATTAAAATACCCTCTGCTTTGGGACTCTTGGTTGATTAAGGACTAGAGTTTCTCAATAAAAGTACTTGTACTAAACAGGTACTAATTAGATCTGATTACTATCTTATAGAGTCTAGAGTGATAAGTAAAAAAATTCTGTTGGTCTTGCAACTTTTTTTTGCAACATTTTTATCTATTAGGCTGGCATAGATGTAAACTTGTGTTATACTTTTTACTGCCTCGAAGAATGAATTATGGACTTCTAGACTCTACTTATTGGTTGCTTGTGTCTTCTTTGTAGTTGTTTTACAACTCTCTATCTTATTTCCTAATAAGGTTACAACTCCAAAAGTTATAATAAAGAATTACAGCTCTAATAAAGCTGTAGTCCTTGACTGCAGATCTAATAAAGCTTTAGTCAAGGACATTATTCAAAAAACCAACTTTATTCAATAAACCAACAGTAATTTTCTAACATTGATTTTAATGGCAATACTTGCATACAATAAACATGTTCAGGTTCATATGTTAATTAAATACAATAAACCAGTTTCATAGGTATAAACATGTAACATAATCTAACAGTTGTCAGTTTCATGAATTTTTGATTGTTTGATAATCTTTTTAAAATGTTACATTGTAGAATAAATCAAGTGTTTAAAAACATTTGGAAAAAAACCTTTTTAAAGACAATATTGTCATAAAAATTGACAACAAACAAATAAAGACAATTTTAAAGACAATTTTGTCATAAAATTGATATTGACAACAAATAAAAAATAATAAAACTTTGATTTTATTTTCATTTTTTAATTTAAGAATAAATTGTTATAATTTTTTTATTATTAGGCGATATGGAATTGGATTGAAAACTATCCTGATCAATTTACTTATCTTTACAAATGCACAAACGTTCAACTTTCTGGTAATTTCAAAACTTTTGTTTTTTTAATTAGAAAATTATTAAAAAAAAAGTATTGCTTTTTTTTCTCAGAAAATTTTTTTAAAGTTTTCTGAGAAAAATACGAAAATTTTATTTATAAAAAAAAAATACACTTTATTTATATAAAAAAGAAAGATTATTTTACCTTTTTAGACAGTGGTTTTTTTTTAGACAACGATGACCTTTTTGATGATTTCATATAAGAATCATTAAAGTTAATACACTCAAAAAGATAAAAAAAATTGTTGAAAAAAAAAAGACAAATGCTATTGAAAGCTTTTTCAATTAAAAAACTTAACTAATGTTTTTATATTATTGAAATGCTTTTAAATCAATTAATAAATAATTGTTAAAAATTTATAATTGTTTATGCGGCACAATGATTTCATATAGGCGACTAATGGAGCCATCCAGTTACATAGGCCTGGGAGATGTGATAATAAAAATGGATAGTAGATAGTGTCGTTAAATAAAAAAATAAAAATTATGAGATAATAATAGGACTCTTTCTGTGGCTTTCTTGGTGATGGCCCTTGGGTAGAAATCTTTCGTCTTTCTGCTGACAAATGTGCTTTTTACATAACTTCTTGGATTCAGGCTGGCATGGAATCTTTTATTCCCTCTCGACGATTCCAAGTCAAGCCTCACTCTTCTCCATGGTTTCCCTCACATTGTGCTGCTGCAATTTCTAATTGAAACCATTACTTCCATATCTATCAGCAAAACAGTTGTCCAGAAAAGAGGCGTCTGTTTACTATTTTCTAGACACCATTGTAAAAAGGTTTTGTGTAATTCCAAAGCTCGCTATTCTCAGGTCATAAAATCTCGTATTATATCTCAAAAACTAAGCTCTCGTGACTTCTGGAAAATTGTTAACAGTATCAATAATAAGGGCAAATCTGTTATTTCACCTCTCTTGTATGGTTCAGATTTTATCACCTCACCTAAAGACAAAGCTGAATTGTTTGCTAAACACTAGTTGCGTTCTACCTGATATAGCCAATAAACAAGTTATTTTATTGCTTGACATTCGTATCACTCCAGCTTCTGTATCTAAAGTGATTTTCTGTCTTGCAGAAGTGTTCTCTGGAGCTGTTGTCTATCAAAACTATTTAACAAGTGCTTATCAGATTTTTGTTTTCCAGCCTGCTGGAAAGCTGTTATTCCTATTTTTAAAAATTCTAGTGAGCGATTTGACTTGTCTAACTACCGTCCCATTAGTCTTCTTACTATCATAAGCAAGGTTTTTGAGTCTTTAATTAACAAATACCTAATCTCTCATTTTTCTGATCATCAATATGAATTTTGATCTTCTTGTTTCACTGCTGATTTCCTAACAGTAATAACCGATAGGTTTTATTGTGCATTAGATAAGACTATCGCTCTTGACATTTATAAAGCTTTTGATAAAGTTTGGCATGCTGGTCTTTTCTATAAGTTCTCATTTATGGTGTATCAGGTAATATTTTTAAGATTATTATATCATTCCTTTCCAATCGTAGTATAAAAGTTATCCTTGATGGACAGCACTCTTCTTCACATCTTGTAACTTCAGGGGTTCCTTAAGGTTCTATCCTTGGTCCTATACTCTTTAATTTACATTAACAATTTTCCAGATATTCTCATATCTAAGGTGAGATTGTTTACTGATGATACTACTGTTTATTCTTGTCTTGATAAGAATGCCAATGCTCTCTGATTGCTTGGAGGGGACATTTGAGCTTGAAACTAACCAGCCACTGTGAGCCCCATGCTGTAGCATTCTGCTACAGCATGGGGCTCACAGTGGCTGGTTAATTTAATTCAGATAAAACCCAATTTTTTTTCAGCCAATTGTTACCACAAAAATTTAGATCTTCCTATATTTATAAACCGTGATGTATTTGACGAGTCATCTGCTCTTCATCTTCTAGGATTAACTCTTTATTAATCTTTCTTGGAAACTATATATCAAATCTATTGCAAAAATAGCGTTTGCTAAGGTTGCGTCTCTTAATTGTGCTTGCCACTTTCTTACTCTGGATTCTTTTTTTTATATTATTTTTATAAATCTCAAATCTAGCCTTGTATGGAATATTTTTGCCTTATCTGAGGCGGATCTTCCAATTATGCCTTTTCTCTTTTAGACTAGGCGCAAAAACACATTGCAAACATAGTTGGACATGCTCTTGCAGCTAACCTCCAACCATTATCAAATCGTTGTAATGTTGCTTCTCTTTCTCTCCTCTACAAATACTATATTGGATACTGCTCTAAAGACCTAGCATTTCTTGTGCTAACTACTAAAATTCATTCTTATGTTACTCATTATTCAATTAAGTCTCATCCTTTTACTGTGACTGTTCTTAAGTACTCTAAAAACTCTTATTCATCTTGTTTTTTTCCTCGAACATTAGTTCTTTAGAATTCATTTCCTTCATTTTGCTTTCCTGATTCATATAATTTGGAATCTTTTAAGTCATCTGTCAATTGTTATCTCTATAAGCTTCATCTTTTCACTTTCAGTAACTTCCAACTCTAAAGTAGTTTCTTGCAGCCTTGTTGGAAGCAAAAATGTTGAAAAATATATATATATATATATAGTTCAATAAGCAAGTTTTACTTTTTTTCCAGAATCATCTATCGTTTAAACCTATGGGGTTTTGTAATTTATAGAGTGCTATGAAAACCATTTAGAAAAAAAATTTGTTATTAGTAAACAAAATCTCTGCATTTAGACAATTTTTTTTTTTATGTTATTTGCCAAAAAGGTCACTACAGTCAAGGAGGCTAATTTTTGTGGTTGCGACCCTCTCTCAACTCTTTAGCTTTAATACATGAACCTTGACAAACAAGGCTGTTGGAGAAAAAGTTAAGCACGGTACTACCAGGGATGTGGTGGGATTATGCTCAAAACTTCTCGTTTATGAAAGGAGCACTCTACCACTACACTACTGTATTTGATATCTGATGATAACAATTTTTTGAACAATCTTGACAACAATCTTACTTTATTATTTTTTTTAAAAAAAGTACAGGTTGTTTTTAGTTTGTTTTTCTTTATTATTCAGTTTCTCTGTCATTTGAGCAGTTACTCTTTGAGTAATTTTTCAATATTATTTTCTATAAGATTTAATATCTATATATTTTTATTTTTTGTGATTTTGCCACTTATGGTTGCACAAAAATGACAAAAATAAGTTATTTTTTAGAGTTAAGTGAAAAGTTATTCTCATTGATTGTACATTATGTTGAAGTAACAAAAAAGAAATTATTGGCATGGCCATTACAAGTAATGCTGCTTTTGCTGTCACCTGTAAGTAATTAAAGCTATGCAGTCAGTTAGTGGGGACTGGTTACACTTTAGACTTGAGAAAAAAACAGGCACTCTTAAAAATATGATTTTGTTTTCATTAGATTGTTATTGATTGATAAATTAATTAACATGCAGCTTTTTTAAAAAAAAAAGCTTAAAAAAAGTTGACAGTTTTTCGCATTGACAAAAATTGTGAAAAACTGTTTTTGGTAAATGAAATATTTTGAATCTGTAGTAAATTATTAAGTTCCTAATCAATAGGTTTTGTAAACTTTTTTTTTAAAGATTGGTTACCTGATAACATTTAGAAATGTATGTATTTATAAACTAAGAATTTTGTTCAAAATATTTGTTTTGTTTTTTAAATTCATTAATACCTCCCTTGCCTTTCCCCTTTAGCACACTTAAGGACACTTAAAAAAATTTCTTAAAAAATTAAAAAACAAAAACAACTAATAATTCTTGAAAGTCAAAAACTATGAAGAAAATTTTTATGTAATGAGAATGTTTAATAGCTGCAGTTTGTTGAAAAATTAATTTTCAAAAAATGTAATGATTAATGTCATATATTCATATTTGTAAAAGTTGTCTGAAGTGTACCTAATTTCCTCTATAATATTTTTAATGAATTCATTTTTCTAAACTATGGGTCAATGACTTTAATACAATATGTATCTAGAGTTATAGATAAAATGATCTGACCACCCAATATTTATTGATAAAATGATCTGACCACCCAATATTTATAGAGAAAAACCTGTACTGTGTACTGTATGCATTTATTACTAAAAAATATTATAATTCAAAAACATAAAAAAAATAAAATAAAGAAGTCATTGTATAAAACATGTTTTAGTACTTTGTATAGGCTCGCCAACTTTTAGAGCAGCCTCTAAAAGTTGGCAATATTTTTTTTAGATCTGCTTGTGAGGTTGGGTTCTGCATTGAGACAACATTTTTCTTAGATCTGCTTGTGAGGTTGGGTTTTGTGAAAAATTTCTGTCTTTGGTTTCACCCAAAAATTTTCAATGGGGTTTAAATTGAATAAATTATCTAACAGTGGGGCAAGAATATTAATTGTATTTTCTTAGAGCTGTGATAATTTTTGTGTGATTGCAGGTTGTCTTACAGTGCATTGAACATCAAATTCAAAATCAACTAGACACAATTTTTTTCAAAACTTTCTAAATAATTTGTGAATTTGACATTTTTACCTTGTAAAAGGTGTAAACTAGACTGTTGACTGTGATTGTACCCCAAATCATAATTGCTCAACATTTAAAAGAAAGTGCAACATATTGGGGATTGAAGCATGAGTTTAGTGGCAAACATTGATTTTGTGTGCTGCTTAACTTACTCTTCGTCTTAGAACATGACATGTTGTGTTTGAGAACATGAAATGTTGCATCTGAGAACATGACATGTTGCGTCTGAGAACATGATATGTTGCCCCATTTTAACATCCTTGTGTTCTTTTCAAAAACTGAGGTGATCAAAAATAATTTCTGAGAAAGACTTTAAAAATGCAGACCAAAGATTTATTTCTTTGGCAAGGCATCTTCGAACTGAGCAAGAACTACATTTACACTAGAAGGCAATTATTAAGTAAGAATTTTTGAGTTTAACATTTACACTGCATATCATCTTGGTCTTCTTCAGGATTTTTATGGGTTGATGCACTGAAGGGTATCATGAACAGTTGTCTTGGGCATTTTTGAACATGCAGCAAATGTTTGTTTAGACTTGCCACTTTTTATTAAAAAGTTGTTGTGGTGCATGTTTAGCAAGTGATTCTGTAGCCGTAATGTAGAATAATTGTTGAATTAAACATGAATTTTATGTAGATAGGGCATATAAGATATTTTTGTATTGGGTAAAAACTATGCAATTACCCACGTAAGACATTTTTAGTGTATTGTTGTTTAGTGTATTGCCTGTACACAAGTTTTACATTTTGCAAAGCATTATGTATAATTATTTTGAGTGGTCAGATCTTTTCGGTCGTAACTGTATAAGTTTTTGTATTTATGTCAGTTAATAATTTTGCATAAGATCCAAATTTTTTTTTCATTTATTTCAATTATTTCTGATAAAATATCTTTGCTATATAAAAATACTTGATGCATGTCACACTTAATTGCAGTTTTTTTTTTAAATTTAAATATAACATTACCGAAAAGTTTAAATTCATAAATATTTTTGCACTTACATTATATTTACTTATTTAGTCATATAAGTACACTTTAATAGAACTATAATATTTACTTATTTAGTCATATAAGTATACTTAAATAGAAATATAATATTTACTTATTTAGTCATATAAGTATACTTAAATAGAAATTAATATTTACTTATTTAGTCATATAAGTATACTTTAATAGAAATATAATATTTACTTGAATGACTTGAATATTTTTCTTTAAAAATCTTAGGAATCCATAAAAGATGCATCTGGAAGTGGAGAGATTTCAAAAGGGGTTAATTTACTCAAGGTTAAATTCTTTATTTTTTTTTTGTAATTTTAATTTTAATTTTTTTTGTTTACTTTTTATTATCAACTAGCAGTAAGCAACCCGTAATACGGGTTGTTAGTAAATAAAATTAAAAAAAAAAAAAACGCGTATAGAGAAATCTAGAAACTACTTTAAAATAGAAAAGCCTAGAAAATGACGTAAGCCGACTATTACTACTATTAAATTAGCGTATTAATATTATCAGATGTAAATATTTTGATTCTATGATTGAGTCTAGTGGAATATTTATTTATTTTATGCACTAATATAATTAATATATTTCAACAGCCATTATGAATGTGTGACAAATGGATCAATTGCATTTAAGAAAAAATAGCTCAAGTTCTTGAATTCTAAGAACATCAAAATCTTTTTTATATCTGATTGATTAAATCTTGTTCTAGTATGATTGATTGAGTCAAATCTTGTTCTAGATTGATTAAGTATATATTTCTAGATTGATTGAGTATATATTTCTAGATTGATTGAGTATATATTTCTAGATTGATTGAGTATATATTTCTAGATTGATTGAGTATATATTTCTAGATTGATTGAGTATATATTTCTAGATTGATTGAGTATATATTTCTAGATTGATTAAGTATATATTTCTAGATTGATTGAGTATATATTTCTAGATTGATTGAGTATATATTTCTAGATTGATTGAGTTTTATTTGAGTCTGATTAATTAAATTTTGCTTGATATTAGTTTAAAATTCTAATTAGTTTTTTTTATTAAAATTTGAAAATTTGATTTTTTTTTTTTTTTCAAAACTTTTGATTTTGGATATTATGATAATGTTGCTTTTTTGGATTTGATTCAGCTCCCGACTGCTCTTGAAACTGATCATTATATTGTATTTTTTCCATAATTAATTTTTAATTGAATATTTAACAAAAATAATGTTTAACCTAAATGCATATTAACTTTATGTTTACGTTTTTAATATTTAATAAACTCTGCTTTATTAAGCACACTTTCCCTTATTAAAAATGACAGTTATTTAATGCCACTTTTCTAATTTCTATGATATTTTATTTTTAATTCTTTATTCTTTTTTAAATCATTGCTTGTTTAATTATTGTCTTTTTTAAAGCGCCACTTTTTGGATAAGTTGAAGAAATCTTTGTCTTCAAACCAGAAATCATCAGAGTATGCTGTCTTCACTTGCATACAAATGTGTAAGGCTGCTACATATATCAACCGTCAAGACAACATTGCATGCTTTTTAGTGTCTCAAGTAATGAATGAGTTAAAGGTATACTTTTCTTATCATTTTTAGATTTATTAAGTTTTATATTTTTTTATAAATGTATTCTAAAAATAATAATTCCATTTAATCAGTTCTAATTTAATTAAAGTTTTTACAAGCTTGTTAAAGTTTTTACAAGCTTGTTACATATTTAAAAGTGAATGTAAGGTATTGACTGAATTAATGACTCAATTTTTTAAACCATTCCTTGTGAAATATTTTTATCAGATTTTTTTAAATCAGTGTTTTCGGGCTCTGGTAAATCTATGTAATCCAGGCTCTCATAAATCTCTGTTATTCAGGTGTTCATAAAACTCTGTTAATAGAAAATTTTGCTCTAAAATTAATAGTTTAAATTGTTTTTAATTGTGTTTGATAGAAAAGAATGAAAAAATTAATAATACTAATAGTATTATTAACACTAAACTAGGAAAATGATTCTTAAAAAAAAAAACAGATTTAAAAACTGAAAATAGGTGAAAAACAAAAGCAGATCAATAAACTGAAGAACAATCCAATAAACTAAAGAGCAGGTATTGATTAACTGAAATTTTATTATTATTATTATTTTTCTTCAGGTATACCATATAAGTTACATTTATTATTGTTTATTATCAGATTGATAAAAATGCATTAATATAATGAATTAATATTATATTGATACAAACTTTAATATAAATTTTGTATAATATTGATACATAATTTTGTATCAAAATATAATAACTATTATATATATTAATTTTCCAAAACTTTTTATTATCAATTTGTAAATCAAATAAGAGTTTGTCCATAAAGTTTGTCCATAAAGTAACACCAAGAATAGAGGTGATCTTACGCAAATGTATAAGTGGTGTAATAATGTTGAGAAAATACAAATGCTTAAAGAAATAAACAACCTTAATAGATTTCTAACCTAAAAAAACTCGAGGAAAAAAAAAAGTTTTTTTTTTGCAACTCTTTGTAATAAAACTTAATAAAATTACTCAAATAAATCAAACACAGTTTGAATTATTTACTTACAAAGAAATGTTCTTAGAATTCAAACTAATTTCTTTTAAGGTAAAAACCTTAAAAGAAATTAATTTGAATTTAAAACTCACCAAATTCATTACCAAATAATTGGTTTTTTACTAATAGCATATTTTACTTAATATGTAATTACACCTAAAATAATTTTATCAACAACAATAAAATAATTTTATCAACAACACTAAAATAATTTTATCAACAACAATAAAATAAAACAATTAATGGAAAGGAAAACAGACACAAAAAATTTCATTAAATTTTATTATTCTTTCATTAAAGCTATGCACAAAAAAAAAAAAAAAAAAAAAAAAAACAAACAGGAGAAACAAAATCTTAAAACTATTTTTGTCCTTCTCAATATTATTATTTTAAATTATTGTAATTGATGCAGTTTGTTAACAGTTTTCTCCCCATGTCTTTTTAGAGAGTTTTATTTTTAGACAATGTTGTTTAATTCTGAAAAGTTATTTACAACTACTGTTGGTTTAAATATTAACCAGCTTATGGTAGACCTGTTTGTAGCAAGTTTCCGCATTAACCACCGTAATAATCAACATTTTGAAATATGCTTTCAACCTGATTCAAATGTGATCTTTCAGTTGACTCTAGCTAAGGGAATCCACCAAATAGTAGAGGAGGTATGATTAAAAATCTGTATTTATTTTTTATTGATTTTATTTTAGTCGTTTATGTAAAAATAAAGTAATTCTAGACAAATAATTTTTATAGCTCTAAAGATCACTCTGACTCCGCTAATTATTACCCTATCAATTCTTGTCAATTAGCAAAGTCTAACATGTCAAAGGTTTTGAATAAAATCTGACATTCTGGTCGTCTCTTCTTTCATATTATGTATCAAGAAAATTTTTAAAAATTATCAAGTCATTCTTTTCTAACTGCAGTATTAAAGTTACTCTTAATGGAAAATATTCTCCTTCATTTCAACTAACTTCTCTCAAGGTTTCCCATTCTTGATATTGTTTTACTCAAGTTATTTTTGTATTTTCATAAGTATTAAGAACAAATTTATCTGTATTAATGATTAATGATAATCTTGGTTCTGTTTGTGACACTGTTATATAGTCTCTAATTATATCCACTTTTAGCAATAAGTCATCTGAGTCATTGCTTAGAGTGGTTCTTGCAGTTACTGGTGAATTTTAATCCAAACAGAATTCGTTTTTTAAGCTCAATATTGCAATAAGTATTATCCCTCTTTTAAGTAAAGTCCAAAATAACATGGTAAATAATAAATATTGTTGGAATTAGAAACTCTTACTTCTTAACATAAGAAGCATTTCTTTCTCTTTTCTACAAATACTTTCATGGTTGCTGTCTTTATGTATTCATGACTCATACAATTTACTTTATTTAATTTTTAAGTCTTCTGTCAACCACTTCCTTGCTCTTTAATCTTCTTTGTTTTCTGTTGACTAATAATGTATGATTGTGGCTACACCTGTAAGAATGATTATATTTACAAAAATAAAGGTTGTAAAGGTAATCAAAGTTAAATAAAGTTTTTTGTATACTAAATTATTATGATTTTTTATATTTTAGAATCGTCTAAGTTGGTGGCCCTCTGTTGAAGTATTATATAATCGTTCTGCTCAAATTAGAAACATGTTTGAAGTAATATCTATTTTTAAATTTTATCTTATAATTTATAAAATTCTTATCTTTTTTAAAATCCAAAACTGTTTTTTAAAAAGCAATGTGTACGAAGATTAACTTCATCTGATGTCCAATTACCAAGGTCTGGTTCAAGTCGTAATACAGTAAGTTGTTTTAAAAATTATTTTTTAAAACCTTCTTTGTAGTTACATGCTCTCATGCCTTATTCTTATTCTTTATTCTAGTTAAGTAAAGTTGGTAATTTAAGTGTAAACAAAAAAAAAGATGATTTGATAGCACCATCTGAAAATGATGTTGAGTTGCTCTTATGGTTGGTTAAGCTGTTCCACATCAGTCCTCAAATTGCTTTAAGTGTAAATAATTTTGGTTTACTTACGATTAATTGTTAATGTTTAACTATAAATCATATAAAATATAAAATTAAATAAATTAAAAAAAAAGGTTTTTTACTTATATCCAGAACCCAGAAAAGTGTGCAGCTGAAATTCAAGCTAGCTCAATGCAAATTATGAATGGGTTAGTTATAATAATGATGTTTGCAAAGACATCTAATTTAGTAGAGCAAGTGTCTGAGGTATTTTTTAAATTACCATATTTATATATTAATATTTTATATTAGTAATTTCACAATACATCATCATTATTAGTATAATATAGTTGATGTATTGTGTAATATAGTTAATATATTGTGTAATGTAGTCAATATTTTGTGTAATATAGTTAATATATTGCATAATATAGTTAATATATATTGTGGAATGTAGTTAATATATTGTGCAATATAATTAATATATTGTGTAATATAGTTAATTAGTAATAAATAGCATTTGATTTGATTTTTGAAAATGGGTTATATTTTGAAGAACTGAAAGTATAAAATGCAGTTGGAACCAGTTGTGAGTACAACTGAGTTGTGAGTACAACTGAAATTATAAAATGCAGTTGGAACCAGTTGTGAGTACTCAAGTCAGATTAAAAAAAAGCTTTTCATTTTAGAATAAAATAAAAAGCTTTTCATTTTTTTATTTTAGCTTGTTCACAACTGCAAAGCAGCTATTTAACTCAGAATCAGATGTTAATAAAATATCAATATAAGATACAAAAAAGATCTTTTTAGATGCCAAAAGCAAATAAAGAATGAACTTCTTCATTTTTAAACAAAATTTTAATTTTCAAAATAATACAAAAAAAGCACAGGCTTATGTAAAAATATACTAATAATTTTAAAGTTCTATTCAGAAAGTCTACACAATCACTCATGATAACTTTCAAATATTTTTATATTTTCACAAGTAATTGTGAACAAATTGTTTAAATATTAGAGCTCAATATTTGTATATTAATATATAATTGATGTTTATTTTTTATTTATATTTATTTATAATTATTTACTTTTTAGAATAAAGTTTTTAGGTTTAATTTTCAAAAAGCTTTTAGACTTTAGGACTTTTTAGCTCTATTGGCTTTTACTGAGTCCTCTTCTTTACATCTTCTTGGACTGTCTTTTACTACTGACCTCTTATTGAAACTAAATATCCAATCAAATGCAAAGTTAGAATATGGTCAAATGAGCAGTCATTTCTTGTTATGTATTCCAAAATGAAATCTTGTTTGACAAGGTTTCATTCTCGAATGCATATCAAGAAATGATTTCATTCTTTTAAAGTTGTATTCTTTTACTGTGTTACTCAATGCTCTTAAAACTTGTATTTAATAAAAATTTTTTTCCAACAATTTTTTCTTCAAGCATCAGTGATTTAAAGTTTTTTTCTCCTAACATCAGTGATTCAAAGTTCATTTTTTCTTTATGGTTTCCTTGATTTTACATTAATTTTCATTCTTATGCTTTATGTTTCCTTGATTTTACAAGTTATTAAATTTTGATTTTATTGCTATTCTCTCATATTTATTTCTCACTTCTCAACATAAATCATGTTTGGTTGCAGCTCTGTTCAAAATTAATTTGTTAAAATTTCTTTGTTTGTTTATTTAGACTCTGCTTAGTTTACATTCTCCTGAAAACATCGAGCTGTGGAATCCAGAGGCTCCTATGGCAACATTCTGGGAAATAAGGTAGAATTACTTAAAACAGATTGTTGTATAACTAAAACCATTTATTTGGTGTTGTTATTCATTGTATTTAAAGTGTAAAGTCAATGTGTTAAGAAAAAAATAGAGATTTAAGCTCCACAAATGTTGAGACCTATGTATTTTAGAGATAAAATGTTGAGACCTATGTACTTTAGAGATGAAATGTTGAGACCTATGTACTTTAGAGATGAAATGTTGAGACCTATGTACTTTAGAGAGAGGATACTTGGACATTTAGGTTACAGGAATTTATTGATTTCAATAAGAATGATGAATGATTTCAGTAAGAATATTATGATAATACTTCAATAAGTTTGTTAGAAAAAGACTTCACATCCCTGAAGGGAAGTATCATATATTATATGTAACTCATATATTATATATATCAGGCTTGGACAGGAATGGCGTGTGATTGAGCGCTATTGCTGACCACGCAAATGATTTTATTTTTTGACAACTTGACCACGATTGTTTATATGTTTTGATGATTTAAAAATTTCAGAAATGCTCTGAATGTAGAAACGTTAGGCTAAACTTAAACTAGGAAAAAAATTAAAAAAAAAACTAACAAAAAAGCAAAACTTTTTGTTATGTTTTTAATTACGTATGAAATAAACATTATCTTTTAAACGGTATTTAAGTTACGCAAAACGCTTTTAAATTAAGTAATAAATTACTACTAATGATTGGTTTAATAAATGAACAAATTTTAATAAATTTATTAAAAAGTGTTGTATATAATTTTTTTTAAATTGTATAAACATTTATTTTTACAAAAAAGTTGCAAAAAAAAATTTTTTTGTAAAATATAACATAGTCTTTTTAAAATAGTAATTTTTACTAAATTCATGCTCTAATTAGTAAGTCTTATTAAAAAAAAGGATTTCAACTTTTTTATTCGTAAAAATAGAAAAATAAATAAATAAAATGCGCTTGCGATTTAAATAAAATAAACTGCCAACAAGCATTTTAATTTAATTTTAATTTGAGCTTTAAAACTTTATCAATAAGCGTTTCGCGCAACGAATTTAAAAATTATTATAAATGGTTTAAACTCATTCATTCCTAACAAAATTGAAACAAACAAAAAAAATGTTTACAGAAAATAAAATGTTTATTTAAAACATTTTAAAAAATCGTAAGTTTAATCAAATTAATCATAAGTTTAAAGAAATTAATCATATGAACATTACAAAATGCTTTAAAACTTTTTCATTAATCAACAAAATACATGCTTATAAGTAAATAAAGTTATTTTATATTCTTGAGTAATTTGCATGAAATGTGTAAAAGCTAGTAGTCAACAAAGGCTTTTGAACTTATTCACAAATTAAAGTAACTTAAAAAAATTATTTCTGAAAATAATGGTTTAAAAATCTTTTGGAAAGACATGAAAAAATAGTTTCAAACGTTTAAATTTATATATATATATCATACATGAGTTTTTTCCTAAAATTCCCTGAATTCTGGAAATTCACTTAAAACACCTTTAATTTTTCCAGAAATTTCCGGATGTTTTTTGATATTAATTTGAAAAAGAGTTAATATATTTTTACATAAAATTTTATATATGACAACTTTTGCATTTAAACAAGTATATTTTCTATGATTAAAATTTTCACAAGATCAATTTTCATAACAATTTTTTTCTTTGCTTTTTAATTCATTCAAACTTTTTCGAATTAGAAATCCCTTTTTGTAAAAAGTTAAATAATCTAAATTCTGTTAGTCAGTTAAATGCAAAGATGCTATTAATAAATTAATTTTCCAGGATTTTCCGGGATTATCATAGAAAAAAAATATCCGGGATTTTCATAAAGTCAAATACTAATCTATGATATATATTACTGAGAACCATCTCGTTAATTTTTTTTTCTCCACTTCAAGCACATGTATATGTATGTATATATATAAATATATATATTTATATATATTTATATATATACATATATATAAAAAATCGTAATTTTGAAGATGGCATCAAAAAAATTAGTTTTTCGTTAAAATATTTGAAATTTTTTTTAGATATCTTATCAAGTTTTGTTTTAAGAATTTATTTGTGTATTGGTGAGTTAATTGCTTTTCATACCTATTAAATTTTACACAATTGATCTAATGATGCATATAATTGACTGCAAAAAAAAAAAATCGTACAGTTCAAAAATAATGTCAAATTGATCAAACTTCATGAAATTTAGTATCGAATGTGGCCTCCTTTGGCCTTGATGGTCTCAGCTAGACGATTTGACATTGAGTTGACCAAATTTTGGGTTTCTTCTGTTGTTATATTATCCCATGCGCTCATTATAGCTTCTTTTAAGTCGTCTTTTTGTCTAAATGCTCGATCACCAATTTTTCTGTCCAAAATATACCACAAATTTTCTATAGGACTCAAGTCCGGACTTTGAGATGGCCATTCCATAACATTGATGTTATTTGTGTCAAAGTATACCTTTGTTTTCTTAGCAGTATGTTTTGGATCGTTATCCTGCTGCAGTATAAAATCCTATTCTCAATTTTCTAGTAGATGTTCGCAAGTTGGCTTTAAGAATTTTACAATACATTGAAGCATCCATTTTTTCATCAATATTCGTCAAGTTCCCTACCCCTTTCCAACTCATACTACCCCAAACCATCACATTTCCTCATTCATGCTTTACACTACCTCACAAACAAGTTAATTTATAAGCTAATCCTTGTTCTCTAATACGATTTCTAATTTTTTGAGGGGTTACTGTGATATTGTGATCTTCTTGAACTTTTAAAGCTAATTTAGCTGCCGAAACAAATCTATTTTTCTTCACATTAATAATGATATTGCGATCAATTGCACTAGTGGTCTTGCGTTTTCGTCCTCTGGCAGCCACACTAGCAACAGTTCCAATCAGATTATGCTTCTTAACAATTGAGGACACTGTCGTAAACTACGAGGCTTTGTTGATGGAAAGACAAATGTTGTTTTCTTGACGCCATTTTGCTCAAACACTATATTTTATTTCTAGAACAAAAGTGTATCTAAAAAAATTCTATTTTTAATTTTACTAACTAGTTTAATCGTTCAATTTGCTCAATTATGCTAAAATAACGACATATTTTGTCAGCGTACAATTATTTTTTTTGCAGTCAATTATATGCATCATTAGATCAATTGTGTAAAATTCAATAGGTATGAAAAGCAATTAACTCGCCAATACACAAATAAATTCTTAAAACAAAACTTGATAAGATATCTAAAAAAAAATTTCAAATATTTTAACAAAAAACTAATTTTTTTAATGCAATCTTTAAAATTACGATTTTTTTTCAAGTTTATAATTATTTTTTTTTGCATACTGTATATTTATTTATATAAAAAAAAAAACAAAAACAGTTTTTTATAGAATTCTGAGTTTCATGCCTGTTGGCAATCATCAGCCACTGTGTATAATTGATGACCTAAAATCCCTTTAAAAACTTAAAGTAGAATGAGTTAAAATTATAGCAAAACTAAAGTATGTCTAATTTTCTAATCCCCGCTGTTAAATAAGGAAAGTAAAAATTTCTTTTAATACCTGCACTTTGATATTATTGATCTTTAATTAAGCAAATTTACTCCTCTGTATGATAATATTTAAAAATTTTTGTGGCGACTTTTTTGTATTGAAATTTTTCTTTAGACTGTTCATTGTCACTGGACTGTTTATTTAGTTGCATTGAAAGATTTAAGATTTATGGTATATAAATGCTAGGGTTTCTGAAAAACAGTGGTTTTTAAAAAACAGTTGTTATACTGTTTTATTATTTTCAAAAGCTGTTAACAGCTGTTTTACTGTTTTTGAAAATTGCACCCCCTCTTTTATTACCCCCACCAACCCTCTTTGTATTAAGCAGGCAGTAGTAAAATTTTTTCCAATTATATATATCCTAACATAGACTTTACATTTTATAATAGTATTTCAAAAATACAAGAGCTGATAATGACTTATCTGAAAGTCGTGATCTTCTTTTTGTACAAACGACACGAACAGATAATACTCTTTCAACATCTGTAGATGTGGCCTTAATTTTTAACAATGCATCATAAAGCTTCTGTAAGTTTTCTATACGCTGGCCTGTATTCTTTAAATTCAGCTTCTAACCACCTGAAATTGTCCTGTCCAGAAGGCACTATTGGTGATTCATTTTTCTTCAGCAACACATTCAGTTCCTCTTGTAGAGTTAAAATTTTATCTGATGGATTACTGGAAGTTGTTTCAATAATATTATTGTTATGAACACCAAAAAGTTGAGATGCCAACATTCCTGCAAAAGTTATCGCATCTCTGAATGGGGTTATTGTAGAGTTCTTTAGACAGTGTAATAAATTCATGACATCTGTATTCAGGCCGTCTCTGTCTTTATCAATGGCTCAAGCATTGTGGGTATTGTGTTTCAACAAATTTTTACATCAAGGTAAATTTTAATTTTTTTTCCAAATAAAGCCTTGACTTTTTATTGAAAAACTTGATTTTGAACACTTGACAGTTTGTATTTTATCAGTTTGCGCGAGTTCTTAAGTAAATTACTGTAGTTGATACATTCTTCGCAATCATTTTATAAATTCAAAATTGGTGCCTTCCTCAAAATAATCATTTTCATTGTTATTGTTATCACAGGGGTTGCCTAAATATTCAATATCATGTTTTTTCGTATAAAGTGTCACATACTCCAAGATGTATACCATGATTAAGACAAAATTGACCTATAACATCTAAAGTTTGAATATACTTCTTTACAGATGCTCCATCCTGAGTAGATGCAACCAAATCTTTTTCTATCGATATTCCTAACACATTTAGATGTTGTTTCATTATTTCAACCATATCAAGTGCACTGCATGAACCCAAAATTCGAATTAATCCTGTTTTATATGTAATATTGTCAGTTTTACAGAGATTATCTTTTTCCGGATTTTTCTGGAATTCCGGATATTTTTTTAAACTTTTAGTTTTTCCGGATATCCAAAGTATTTTTAATACATGCAAGTTGAGGTATATATTTTTGTAATATATTTATTTTTTAAGCTTTTTCACTCATCACTTAAAAAAAAATTATTATAAATATCAAAAAAAAATTAGAAACAACTTAACTAAAAGCAAAATTAAAAAGAAAATGAGGGAAAACAAATTCCGGATTTTTTCCGGATATTTTTTCCAAACCATTTTACAGATTTTTAAAATATGACTAGGATAATCTATGGTTTTATCATGAATATTAACTCCAAAATATTCGTCCTCTTAAAGTAGTAACCTCATCAACAGTTATGCTAAACTTCACTTTATTGGCTACTTTTAATTTTATGGTGTCAATCATTTTTTATTTTTTTTTATCAAAATCTTTGTGCAAAAGTTTTATTGCATCACTTTCGTTAGCGGGTGGTTTAAATCCATCACTTGCAAATGTATTTATTTCTGGTTATAGCTTAAACTGAAATGCCATCCGTAGCCAAATCAGAAACAATATTTTGAAGCGTCTTTTATGCAAAGAACAGTTTTTTGACTCTTCTTGCTTGCTCTTTCATCTGTTAGTATGATTGATTCTGTTGCCTTATCTAAACAAAGTCCGTGACTTTTTAAGTGATTTTGTAAGGTAGTTGTAGAATTTCCTGAGCATTTTATTATTTTGTTACAACGCTGACACTGCCCTTCCAACTGTTTTGTATTTGAATTTTTCCATTTTGTAGCGTATATATAGACTGACATTGCTAATAATATGAATAGAAATTAAGGATATTAAGTAGCCCTTTTACCCACTATTAAAAACTAATTCATTACTAGTAACTATGCATTTAAGTCGATGTAAATAAGAAAGTTTTGCTAAAAGCTCTATTTATAACTCTAAAGAAACTCTTAAGAAACCTTTAAAAAATTTTTAGTACTAGATAAATTTAGGTTTTAGTAGTTTTAAAATAAGTAACTCCTTAGCACTTGCCTGTGAGCTTAGTTTTTTTTATAAAAAATGATAACTACTGAACTAAAGTTATTTATTAAAGTTACTTATTATCCTATATTTTAAACTATTTATTAAATTGTTATTGAAAAAAAAAATCAAATTAAATTACTATTAAAATTGCTTTAATAAACGTGTTGTTATATAATATATATATATTAATATAATAAAAATAATAATATAATAAAAAGAATATAATAAAAATAAACGTTAATTAAAGAATTTTATATTTTAGAAATTAACAATTGCTAAGAGAACTTAGCAATTGTTAATTTTTAAAATATAAATAATTAAACTTTTATCTGAAAATGTTTGAATAAAAAAATTCGAATATTTTCAGGTTTGAATGAAACTTTATGCAGTTAAAAATCATTAGAATATTGAAATAGAGTTTAATCATTATGCGAATGCATAAAAAAAGTTTTTAATTTTTGTAGCTTACTTCAATTAAAAAAGCATAAAAAAATTCATTTAAAAACAGCTGTTTGCTGTTTTTGTTTTTTTTTGTAAAAAAAACAGCTATTTTACTGAACAGTAAAACAGTAACATTACTGTTAAACAGTGTTTAGAAACCCTAATAAATGCGGTTTTACTTATACATAAACTTTATCTTTGAATTTGGGAGAACTTACAGAGGCTTGGTATACAGTATTGCCAGAAAGACAGTTATTTAGTGGACAAATATTTTTTTGTCTATGCAGTTGCATTTTTTATATTTGTTGTTGTAAAATTTTGTTGTTTTGCACATTTATTAAAGACTTTACTTTAGGCATGAAACTGTAACTAACCTTAATATAGTTTCATAAATCTATATTAAAGTTAGCTACATATAAAGGCTACATAAAAAACTTTATGTAGCCTGTGTCCTAATTTATATAGCCTCTGTCTTACTGAAAAGTCAATTAAAGCTAAAAAGCAATTTCTAATTTTAGCTTCAAAATTTTTGCTAAATAGGGGATTGTATCGTAATGTTTATTTTTATTTTCATTTATTTGCGTTTTGTAGGTGAGTTTCGAACTTATGTATGTCTTAGTATAACTTATTATGATTCAAATTATCCACCCAATATAGTAAAAGGAATCCCTTGCAGTATTGAGTTGAGATTATTGGTTATGGCAGTAGATAAAACTGTTAATAATTCCATTCCTCTGTATAAAGAGGCTTTACATAAGTTAGGATACAATTTGATGATGTTGTTGTTGATGATGGTGTTGATGATACTGTTGTTGTTGAGTTTTTCAATGATATTTTTGCGCAACTTGGCAAACTTGGCAACCAAAATTTAAAAACTTGTAACTTTAGTAAACATTAAGTTGAAAGAATAATATATGTGTGTGTTTAAATAATATTGTCTATTAATTTAATACAATTATTATATTATGCATAATATATTATTCTTATATATAAAAATACTTTATAGTTCTCAGATAGTATACAATGTAGCTGATCGACTTTTAACAGAGAAAGTACCTAACCAGTTAAGTGCAATGAGATGGCTACAAAAGATTCTTAAATGTAGAATTCAGTTTATTGATGCAAACAAAACAAATTCTTTGGTTGGTTCTCACAACTCTATTTGTGTTGAAGCTCTTTCAAAATTAGAGGTATTAAGAATTCTTATTTTAAAATTTTATATTTTTATTTTGTTATTTAGTTATGTAACTTTTAGTAAATAGTAAATTTGTTTCCTATAACATTAGCTATATATTTAAATTAGTAAAGTTTTGGCAGCATTCAATTTGGTCTTTTTGTTGTTTAAATATGTTGTTTTTGACAGATTTGCACTTTCTTTTTTTATGAAAATGTTCATAGCACAAAGTTATTTTTTTAATCAATTTTCTATACTTTTTTGTTATGATAAATCTAAATTTTATTTATAAATAAATCTAAAAGGATCAAATTAAAGATTTTAATATCTTTAACTTAGTAAGTTACTAACTAATCTTTAACTTGGTAAGTTAGTAACTTTTCTTTAACTTAGAAAGTTAGTTACTAATTTTAAACTTAGTAAGTTAGTACTACTAGTTACTAAGTAAATTTTTAACTTAGTAACTAATCTTTAGCTTTGTAAGTTTTACATCTATAGCTTTGCTCTACTTTTTTTAACTACTTTTCAAAAAAAAATTTAATAAAATTTTTAGAATTTAATAAAAAAAATTCAAAATTACTTACTCTATATTTTACAAAATTCAATTGAAAAATTAAATTGATTAACAAAAACAATGTAGAAATGTTATTATGTAAATATATTAGGAAATGTTTTTTTTATATAAATCAAATAACTAAATTCAATATTACATTTTTAAAAATATTTGATATGAACTTATTTCTTTCTTTTTGGGGCAATTGTATAAATGAATTTTGAAAAATTTGTTTATACAAATGCCCCAAATATTTTTGAATACCTGTTGCTTTTTGACATTTGGCTCTTTGGGTTTAGTTCAACCCACCTCCTCCCTTTTTTTTTTCGTTTTTTTTTTTTTTTGCTTTGATTTATTCAATGTTGTTGCTAAATATAACAACCACTCTAATAAAAAATAAAAGCTGTACACAAATTATTCAAATTATAATTTTTTTTTTTAGTTTAAATTTATATTTATTTCCTATTTTGTTAGTTTTGCTATCCTTGTTTTTGAAACTTATTTTTTCCGCAACTCCTAATGTAAAAAAATTGCAAATGAGTATGACCAAATTGTCTAAAAAAAATACTCATGCGTGGACATAAGATGGAAAACCGCACATGTTTCCTGGGAAGGTTTTCGTGTATTTTAAGTTTTTAAGTTTTAATACTTAAAAACTCTTATAAGTAAGACCTAATTATTTTGAGTTTTTGTTAAACCTAATTTCTTATTATTTCAGATTTTTTAATTATTTTGAGTTTTTGTTAAACCTAATTTCTTATTATTTCAGATTTTTTAATTATTTTGAGTTTTTGTTAAACCTAATTTCTTATTATTTCAGATTTTTTAATTATTTTGAGTTTTTGTTAAACCTAATTTCTTATTATTTCAGATTTTTTAATTATTTTGAGTTTTTGTTAAACCTAATTTCTTATTATTTCAGATTTTTTAATTATTTTGAGTTTTTGTTAAACCTAATTTCTTATTATTTCAGATTTTTTAATTATTTTGAGTTTTTGTTAAACCTAATTTCTTATTATTTCAGATTTTTTAATTATTTTGAGTTTTTGTTAAACCTAATTTCTTATTATTTCAGATTTTTTAATTATTTTGAGTTTTTGTTAAACCTAATTTCTTATTATTTCAGATTTTTTTATTAAATTTTTATGACATTAGACAATGTTCCTAATGTGCTTGTGGAGTACTAACACAGAAAAGGTTTTGCTTGCAATGAAATGTTTTGGGTTGTTATTTGAGGAAGCAACACTCCTATCATTTGATCGACCTAGTCCTATGCACCCTACACCATTGACAACAGTTTATTACAAGTTTAGTAACGAAGTTAGAGAAACAGGTTTTTTTGTTAAATGTGTTTGCTAAAGATAATTTATGATTTCTGAACATTTTTTAAGTACTTTTATTACTTCAACATTTGTTTTATAGGGCGAACAGCTCTTCATAAAAGAATTTTGTCTGTTTTGCGTGATGTAAATGTACAAACAACAGGAAACTTAAAGGTATATGTACAAAAATTATGAAAAATATAAATTAGAGTTCCAAAATTGGAATTGTAAACTAGAATTCCATAGATGCAAAATAATTATATAACCTCAAATGTTTCGACCAGGTTGTCTTCTGGAGTTGGTTTACCAATTTTACCAATTTTTCTGCCAGAATAGGTCTATGAATAGTTTTCTAAGGTTTTAGTTTAGTTAGCAAGGTTTTCTACTATAGTAGGCCTAATAAATTTAATTATGGGTTTCAACTATTTTGCTTAAAGCACCAGATCATCATTAGAGGTGGTAGTTCTATCGCGCAACATACTTACTTCATACAGGCAATGGATTTGCAATACTGCTTTAAATAGAAATTAATAAAGAAAGACAACTTGGTATAAAGTATAAAATACTAAAAGTATATAATATAATACATATAATACTGAATAATGATAATCAAAGTAATGTAAAGTATAAGGAGTATTAAAATTATTGCCATAATTTGTATTCAAGTTTTAGGGCAACTACAGTTGAGGAGGCTATTTTTTTTAAATTTATTCACCTGCTCAAAGATGTGGGGCCACTGCAGTTGAGGACAAAATTTTTTTACTTTATTCAGCCCAAAGCTGTGGATTCAGTACAAAAAGTATTCTTTTAGCGCTCATCTCATTTTAATGCACTGCTCTTATCTCATTTTAATGTACTGCACTCATCTTATTTTAATGCACTGCTCTTATCTCATTTTAATGCACGGCACTCATCTCATTTTAATGCACTGCACTCATCTCATTTTAATGCACTGCACTCATCTCATTTTAATGCACTGCTCTTATCTCATTTTAATGTACTGCACCCATCTTATTTTTGTTCACCCAGTTAATGCATAATAAATTTCCATTTATTTTTTAAACTGAGATGTTTCATTGTTTAACAAATCAGTAATAGAACAAGGAATCTAAATAATAATTCTGAGAATGTAAGTTATTAGGTTCAAGGTATACTAACCTCAGTATACTAACTATAACCCTGTTCAAGGTTTACTTTAGCTGCTAATGTTTTGCTGAAAAATTAAAATAACTTGCACTATTTCCAGGTTGCAAAAAATAAAAAAATTTGTTACAATTAAATTGTGTTCTTTATTGCATGTAACAATAATGCATGCATTATTTTTTGCATAAATTTATTCCAATTGTGTTTTAGTCAAAGTCATTAAATTTTTATCATTCAAACAAAAACACTTTCTGTTTCACTTCTGTGAAATTTATGTTGTAGTAAACACAAAATGGTTATAAAATATGTTCATAATTATGTTTATAAAAATATTTTATAAGTTTTATTATTGTTTTATAAGTTTTATTATTGTTATTATAAGTTTTATTATTGTTATTATAAGTTTTATTATTGTTATTATAAGTTTTTGCTATTGTTTTTATTATTATTTTATTGTAAATACAATTTATTTTATTATTAAAACATTTTTATATTTAGGCTTGGAAATTGACACTTGCACGATGGAAAAAACTTACAAATGCATTGACTAACTATCCTCGTGAAGAACTAGTTGGGTTTGATGGAGTGCCACCAGAGTCTCCTGTTAAACTGAAAACATCCCCAAATATTGTTACTTTAGTATCAGATGATACTTTAGAGGTTGATCATTTTGTTTTTAATGTTTTTATATTTTTACAACTTTTTAATACATATATCACTATTTATTTTGTTTTTATTTCATATTTTCATAGTATTTTATTTCAAAGTAGTCTTTAAAGCCCAAACATAACTTAAGCCAAACTTTATATTGTCATTAAAAGTTTGTTTTGTCTTTTTCCTTAATCAGTTTATATATGTATAGACATATCAGTTTATATATGTATAAACATATCAGCTTATATATATTTAAACATATCAGTTTATATATGTTTAAACATATTAGTTTATATATGTTAAAACATATCAGTTGATATATGAATAAACATATCAGTTTATATATGTATAAACGGTATAAAGTATACTATAAAAAAACCGAAAAATCATTATATTTATATATTACCAAGTAAATCCTAATGAATTTATTAGTTTAATTATAATTAATATTGTTTATTTTATCAGGGTTGATGTGTATCACATGGTTAATTAGTATGATAGAGTTGATTAGTATCACAGTTTTGATTGGTATCAAAGGGTTGATTAGTATCACAGGTTTGATTGGTATCAAAGGGTTGATTAGTATCATGGTGTTGATTGGTTTATATGTATTACAGAGTTGATTGGTATCACAGAGTTGATTGGTATCTGTCTGTGCCAGATTGGTATCACAGAGTTTTTTGAGTTGATTGGTACTGTCTACAATACCAGTGATGGCAAAACAGTTAAACCATAAGTTTGAGTTGTTTGAAACCAATTGTTTAAGCTGCCTATAAACCTTAATTTGATCCTGATTAAAATTTTGTTGATAATGTATAAATGTTATCTATACTGGTGTATAGTTGCACTGTCTACACCCCTGGTAGCTAACGACTGTATATAAATATACACCTTTTTAGTCTTCTAGTTTAAAACATTTTAGAAGTACCATACTTTGTTTTGTTTTCATACTTTGTTTTTTTTTACTTAGAATAGAAGTGCCATACTTTGTTTTTTTACTTAGAATAGAAGTACCATACTTTGTTTTTTTACTTAGAATAGAAGTACCATACTTTGTTTTTTTACTTAGAATAGAAGTACCATACTTTGCTTTTTTACTTAGAATAGAAATATAAAGTTTTTTAGTGCTATATTTTATAATTAAATACATTTTATTGATTAGTTAAAGAAAATAAATTTGTTTTATTATTTGTAATGTTATTTGAAATTTTTGATTATCATTTTAAATTAATTTTTCTGAAAAAAAGAAAAAAAGAAAGATTTTTATACCATTTTACTATTTACTTAGCAATTAAAGAGTCTCAACTGATATGAGGATTTAGAATGGAATAAGTTAAACTATTAGTGTGTTTGAATTAATGTTTTTTTTTAGATAATTTGAGTCCTAACGATTGTTTTACAGTAACTTAGTTGCTTAGTAACTTAGTATATATATTTATTTACATGTTACTTACTAAGTATTTAAAAAAATATAGATAAAAACAGTTTTTGATTCTTTAATTGTGTTCTTAAAAATGAAAAAACAAGTTGATAAATTTTTAGATATATCTTTCTGAATGGTGTAAAATGACTGGCTTCTTGTGTTCTTTTGGTGGGATCTGTGTATCTAAGTACTTTTTTTTAATTTATAAGTGTTCTTTATATGTTTTTTTTTATAAGTGTTCATCATATTGTGTTTCCAAGAAATACTTAATTACAAACAAATCTTTTTGAACAACTTAAAGCAATAATTATATAATTAATAATAATGTAAGTTGTCTATTTTTATATCTTTTGTCTGTTTTTTACTTTAATTTATTTCCTGTTATAGATTTTACATAATAATCTAATATATTATACTATTATTATTATTATTATTATTATTATTATTATTATTATTATTATATAATTAGGTTTGATTTTAGATTAAAGAAGTGTTTATTAAACTAGAATTAAAAAAATAAATTTTGTCACAATGTTTATTTGTCAAAATGTTTTATAAAAACAGTTTTCTTAATTCAATTTGTCTGAAATTCAGTATTCTTTCATTGTTATCATTTTATTTGGTATTTTTTCATTATGTTTGTTTTTATTTTTTAAAAGTTTTTACTCTATATTTATATTTGTATCTAGAGAAAAAGATGTCAACTTTTTTTCTCCGTCTTCAAAAGGTCTGGAAGATAATCAAATTAACAGGTAAAAATTTTCAAACAACTAACAGCTAAATGTTTATATATAATATATATATATATATATATAAAAGTACGTATATAAACCAACCCACACACACAATGTGGTAGTGTTGTAGTGGTAGAGAGTTTGCTTGATGAACTAAAAGTTCAGAGTTTGATCCCCAACATGTCCCTGGTTTTACTAGCCTTGTTTGTCAAAGTATATGTTTTGGAGTTAAAAATTTGATAAAGAATTGTAATCACAATAAAGTAGCCTTGTCCTGTCTTTGGTATACCTAAAGAGATGTCAAAAGTTGTTTTACCAACATTTGAAGATGTAATGAAACATTACTTGCTTGTAAAACATCAGTTGAAACCAACAACAGCTACGAAAGAGCCTACTATCACAGATCTCTGAGAAAATTGAATTAACTGTTGAAAAAATATGGTTGAAAGCGTCACTACCAGTGATCACTCATACATAAATATTAAAGATGGCTCGCTCCTATAATGATATATCTCTATATATTATTGCTGAACTTAGTAGTAGTAGTGTTAGTGCCTATTTGAGCGTGTTTGACACAGAAATCTTGGCAGCCATTGCAACCGAGGTAGTGGCGAGAAAAAGCGGCAGCCCTTTTTGTTATAAGAAAACCGTGAACAAAAGTGTATGCAAGTATCTAACGTACATAAACTTGAAATTATGTAGTGTTAAAACATAAAAAAACATGTATCAAGTTTTACAGGTTGACTTTCACTTGAAAATTGCATTGCGGCAACATCTGCTTAATTTTAATCTATAGCATTTGTTTCCATTAAAAAACATACTATATAGATTTAAAAATTTTAGTAAGACAATGTGCCTGTGTGGCCGAGTGGATAATGACAGAGCTTCTGAACTAAAAAATTATGGTTCAAATCCTACCGTTGGTGAATTTTTAAAAAATAATTTTTTTCGATTATTTTAAAATACAAAATACTTTTGAAGTTTTATAGAGATTATACACAAACATATGTAATGATTGACACGTTAACAAACGAAAAGATTTTAAAAAAAGTTAAAAATTCGAAAAACGTTCTAACACCATGAGGAAATATTTATTGCGTGTGTCATGATTGAGATTATTTATACAGGTAATTAATCCTAATAACCTGCAAATTGTCTGAAACTTAATAAGACAGTCCTGCTACACCAGAAGGTGCTGCTGTAAAGGCAAAAAAAAAAAGTATGTAGCTACAAAAAACTTTAAAACTTTCTTTTGACAACTTTTTGTAATGTAATGATTGATTAATGTAATGGTTGATTTGCTTTTGGCATGCAAACAAATACAAAAAGCAAATCAACATTTGCATGCAACTAATGCAATTTCTTTCAAACATATGCAAACTTATTTGGATGAATCAGGACCAAACACCTTTTCAGACTCAATTGGTAAGACACTTGTAAATTGTAAGAAATTACCAGTTGTTGCATTTGAAAGAATTTAACTCTTCAAGTGTTTTTTCCAAATTGACAATTAAAAATTAAGTTTGAAAAACTTCAATGCCATATTCAATCAGTAGAGCGGTGTGTCAAGCTCATGACTGAGTCTTTAATGTAGAGAAAAATCATGAGATGGTTTTACTCTATGCCTTGTAATGTTTAACACAGTCAGAATATCAAGTTTCCAAATTAATACAGTAATAGAGAGTAGATAAACAGGTTTTCTAAAACAGGATAATGAATATTAAAATAATTAATTAATAGATTTTTATCGCATCCTTTAACACGATGCAGGCTTATCTGTATATCGAAATTTTGACAAATCTATTGTTTTTATTTTATGGTTTTAAATAATTGTTCACCGCAATCATTTCAATCACTAATCATGTAAAGGTATATAAAAACTGAATAAATTAAAATTCTACATGCTCAAATAGCTGACAGAGTAAAAAAGTTACAAATTTTGTCATTTTGACATGTCATTGAACACTGGTTAAAATATTCATATTTAAATGTAAACATATTTGTAGCAGCCGTAGCGTAGTAGTCAAGCATTCAGATTCAGACCGCAAAGTCTTGGATTCAGTTCCCAGGTGACATAAATATGCTTTCGGTAAGATTGGAAACAGAGAACCAGTTATTGTTAATTCCCAGTAAGTTAAACACTGGTTAACTCAAGCTGCTTTATTTGGTCCCATGAAATCGTCTAATTGATTTCTATTAAAATTCTCTAGTTAAGTCAAACCTCTGATAATTTGAACTTTGTTAGTTAAATTATTTTTTCTACCCCTTTCACCAAGGTTCTTTGATTAAATGGAACTTTTTGTATAGGTAATTAATAAATTAAAAAATTAGATTACATTCATTTTTTAGAAGTCATTCTATATAAAATATAAATAAGAGTAGCTTAATATTTTCTGTTTTTTCGTTTTATTTATATCTGATTAAAATAGGTTAGGTAAAAACTGTTACAAAACAAATCATGATAAAACAATGTTAAAAAAGCAATTATTTTATAGTTTTAATAAATTTTTTGACAAAAGATCCCTATCTTTTAGTCACAATTTATTACCAAATTATTAAGGAAGTCATTGTGTTGCTAAACTTTATTCAATACAATACTTTATTGAATACTGTACAGCATGAAAATTGTAGTCGAAAGAGACTTTTTTTTATATTAAAAGACTCTTTCGACTACACTATAAGGATATATATATATATATATATATATATATATTTTTTTTTTAATTTTACTTCACCTCCTCAAGGCCGAGAAGGCCACTACAGACGAGGAGGCTACTTATTATGTGGCTATCACCCTCTCTCAACTCTATAACTCCGAAACACGAACCTTGACGAACAAGGCCGCTGCGCGGAGAAACGAGTTGAGCGCGGTACTACCAGGGACGTGGTGAGGATCGAACTCGGAACCACTCGTTTATGAAGCGAGTGCTCTACCACTACACCACTACCGCATCATATATATATATATATATATATATATATATCCATATATATATATATATATATATATATATATATATATATATATATATATATATATATATATATGGTACCTTTTATGATCTTATATAATACCTGCTTTTAGCCAATATATATATATATATATATATATATATATATATATATATATATATATATATATATATATATATATATATATATATATATATATATATATAATGTAAAATATAAATATACAGTTATTAGATGTAATGTAAACAAGTCTATTTGTATCTAATAATATATATATATATATATATATATGTATATATATATATATATATATATATATATATATATGTGTATATATGCTATAGTATATATATATATATATATATATATATATATATGTCATATCAGATATATGTATATATATATATATATATATATATATATATATATATATATATATATATATATATATATATATGTCATATCAGATATATGTGTATATATATATATAAATATATATATATATATATATATATATATATATATATATATATATATATATATATATATATATATATATATATATATATATGGTACCTTTTGTATAATATCCACATACAAGCAAAACATATCAGGAAAATTTTGAAGTATATATATATATATATATATATATATATATATATATATATGTCATATCAGATATATGTGTATATATATATATATAAATATATATATATATATATATATATATATATATATATATATATATATATATATATATATATATATGTATATATATATATATATATATATATATATATATATATATATATATATATATATATATATATATATATATATATATATATATATATATATATATATATGGTACCTTTTGTATAATATCCACATACAAGCAAAACATATCAGGAAAATTTTGAAGTTATCTAGTAGCCATTATGAGAAGAACAGAATTTACCCAGTCTGCACATAAAATGCATGTTTTTAGAGTAGTTTAAGATGTTTTAAAAAAGAATTATTTCCGTCTGAGTGCAAACTTAAAATGAATATTAGATATCAGTTATGCTAAATATTTTTTATATGTTTTATGAAAGATTTTACCCCCACAAAAGACTTTTAACATTCATTATATTTTAACATTTTTTTCTAATTATTTCAATCATTAACCAATAAAAGAAGATTTTATATATATATTAAAAAAACTATATGTGTATGCCTACTTTTAAAGTTATAAAAGTTAAATATTTCTTAAATAAATTTAACTTTAAAGAATTTTAAACTGTTGAGATATTAGTACCAGTTGCACAAACTGCCATTTATCAGCGGTATTGATATTAGTACCCAATTTTAGTTTTGAAATTTTTAAAAATTTAATGAATGTTTTAAAAACTTTGAGTGGATAATTAAGCATAAGCAATTATATTGAGACAAATGTTTCAATTTCAAAGATATTCAAAGTATTTTGTTTTTTTAATTCTTTATTTTCTTATTTTATTTGAAAAATTAAATGGTGGTCTACGTAAAAAGACTATTGGAATCTCAAATTAGCATTTTTTTGTTTTTAAAAGTTTTAAAATATTTGTAGGCATGTGTGAAATTACCCCGTAAAAGCTTGAGTGTAAAAATTATTATTAATTTATCTAGCTTATCAAGCAAAGTACATATGTATATGTTTGTGAGTGTGTGTATATTTAAATGTATATCTATATTTATATATGTATCATTACACATTATTGTGTGTGTGTGTGTTTATATATATATATATATATATATATATATATATATATATATATATATATATATATATATATATATATATATATATATATATATATATATATATATAAAATTAATGAAAAAAAATATAATGAAAAAAAATTTTGTACATGTTTATTATATTTTTTATATATTTTTTAAATATAGATTTATTAGTGAAATGTTGACGCTGCTTGTTTGTGAAAATGAGCATACTTCCCTTCAAATTCGTAGTGCAGTTAGGGAAACACTTGGCTCTGATTTAAGTGTTATTCTTTACCCATCATTTTTTTGTCTCTCCAAAGCTACAACCGGTTGCTTCTTTGATCCCAATGGACAGGTAAGTTTTTAAATTTAGGGTCAAAACAAGTCAATTTAACTTATTATTAACACCATACTGTTTCAAATTTGAATGATTTTCAGTACCCAAGCTTATAGTCATTAAAAAAAAATTTACTCCAAATATCTTCAATAATGATAAATTTTTTTATATAACTATATTTTAGGATGAAGAATTCAAAAATGATTAAGTAAAGACCATAAAGTTTCTATATAAAAATTTAATTTCATCTCCATGAATCAAACACATTGATTGAATCAGCTAAGCTGATTCAATCAGATTCAATCAATTTAGCTGTTATATTATGTTTACTTTTGATGCTATGTTATGTTACTTTAAATGTTTGAATTAGAAACAACTTAACTAAAAGGGAAATAAAAAAAAAATAAGAGAAAACAAATTCCGGATTTTTTCCGGATATTTTTTCCAAACCATTTTTCCGATTTTTAAAATATGGCTAGGATAATCTATGAAACATTAAGTAAGTGAATATACATAGATATAAAATAAAAATACATAGATATTAAGTAAATATACATAGATATAAAATAAAAATACATAGGTATATCTCATTTTATTCACAGTTATATAACTCATAATTAAAAATACTTTTTGTGTAAAAATTTATTTAAAACTTCAAGATGCAACTAAATCAGATTTTCAAAGAAAAAAAAATGCAAAGAAATCAGGTTAAGAAAAAAAGTCTTTAGTTTTTATAGCAACTTTTTTTTCATATAGAGCCAATTAAAATCTTTTTGAAATAAGCCATAGAAGTTATAGAGCCAAAGAAAAATATTTGGAATCATATCTTTAAACACTTCAAGATGTATATCTTTTTGGCATCAGAAACTCTAAAAAAAGTATTAATATCAATTTGAAATTGAATTTTCATATAGAAACATTGATTAAGTTATTACTTTGTAAATTCTTAACCCTAAAAAATAGTTAGGTACAAATTTTTGTCACAAGCATTTATTCCTTAAGTTAAAGCTAATTACATAACAATGTTTATTAAAAATAAATGATAGTGAAAAATAAGAGTCAAGACAGATTCAGAAGTATTTCTGAAACTGTAATAAGTTGGATGCTAAAATTGTTTATTTACTCTTTAAAAACACTTAAAAAGTGTTTTTAAAGTGTTTTCTACATAAATGTAAGCTTTTATACTGAAAATCTGAAATTAAATGAATTTGACATGGAATAACCCTTATAATCTAAAATATTGATTTTAACCCTTAATATCTGAAATATTGATTTCGATTTTTAAGATAAATATAGTTTGATTGTTTTTAGTAAAAAGTTTTTCTTATTTTTTATTTTTTAGGTAAACATAAACCCAATTAATAACATATACTCTGAAAATCTTATTTATATTATTCGAACTATACTAGAAAATAAATCTGATAGCGTTGCTCATGTATTGCCTGCTTTACCAGTTGAGGAAATAACTAATGCATTGTTAAAGTAAGTTAATTCATAGTTAGTTAAAGTAAGTTAATATATATATATATATATATATATATATATATATATATATATATATATATATATATATATATATATATATATATATATATATATATGTATATATATACACACATTTTTATATATGTGGGTATATATATATGTATGTATGTATGTATGTATGTATGTATGTATGTATGTATGTATGTATGTATATATATATATATATATACACACATATATATATATATTTATCTATATATTTATATGTATATATGTGTGTGTATATATATATACAGGGATGTACACTCGTGGTCGCCCGATGGCACCAGGCGACCGAATATTGTTAAGGGCGACTCAAAATATTTTTTTTATACAATCAAGTCGCCCGAATGGGTGACTATTGATTTTTATCGGCAGTTCTGTTTTTTTGTGTGTGTAATTTAAGAGATTTAAAATATGCAAAGAAACTAAGCAATAAGTAACTAAAATAATAATAAAACTCTATTTTAAAAGTCATAATGCTAAAGTTTGTTTACCGCATTTTCTATTGTTAATTAGAAAATACAAGTAAAATAAAAACAAAAAGGTTTTATCGTTTAAACATTCTTTTTTTTTTTATTTAATTAAATTTTAGAGATATGTATTAAAATTTAGAGATAATTCTACATATACTTAAAAAAAAAAAAAAAATTTAAAGAATTTACTAATGACGGCGATCTATATTCTTGATGTGTGTAGAGCAATGACATTTTTTTCAGAGGCATTAGTAAGGTTTTTCATAGTATTAATTCACCACAAACAAAAATAAACAACAAAAAAAGTATATACAATTAGGTATTTTTAGGTATTACATTTAGGTAATACAATTAGTTTATTGTAATATATACTAATATTATTGTTATTAAACCTTTTAGAAGTATAAACTTTGCAATAATTAACATTAAATAGTCAAAGTAAAATGTTTACAAAAGATAAAAACTTCGTTATAAATAAATTTTGTTGCGCTCTTTTTTGAACTATTTAATTAAAAGTCTATTAAAATTTTCTTGAAAAAACAAATTCATTCGAGTTTTATAATTATATTTTGTTGCTCTCATACTTAGAGTTTTTTCAGAATTAGAAACTTTTTCTAAATTAATATTTCCTAAACGTTTATTGATTAAAATTTAATTTTTCAAAATAAAATATAAAAATTATTATTTGTATATTGATAAAATACATAATTTGTCGCTGTAAATTGTATATTGAATTAACTACTAAATTCAATTTTTTTATTGCTACATCCATGCAAAAGTGCATTTTGAAACGATATTCAAATGTATCAGATGTCTTTGCAGAGGCAGACGAGTTGCTTAACACAGTTGAATGGACGGAGAGTGACTTTTTCACGGCTGAAAACAACAAAAAGTTACATAAAAATATGCTAGACAATAACATGAAAGCTCTTATTAACGACGATATGCTTTGCAACAACTCGAATATAAACAAGTAGATGTTGGAAATATTTTATCAGAGTGGATAATATTGAAGAAAATAATGGCAACTTGGACAAGTGCAAGTTCAAAATCATTTCCACCGCTATCATGGTCACAAATAGCGACTAATATCAAACCAGATAGATTCGCTAATCTTTTTTCTCTGATTGATTTTTTATTTTGCCATAGCTTAAGTTCGGCAGACGCGGAAAAAGGCTTTAGCGCAATAAAAAAATTAAATCAATTCAAAGAACACGAGTCAGTAACAAGTTATTAACAATGCAATTGCGCATCAAGATTGATGGTCCAGGAATGGATTTATACGATCCAACAAAAGCCATTAAACACTGGCTTTTAAAGCCATCATGAAAAAATAAAACTAGCATCAATCAAAAAAACTTTACATGGACAACAAAACTCCAGTTATGTCAGTTAAAAAGTCAAAGAAAATACAGATTTTTGCTAGTAGCGATGATGATAGTGATAGAGCTGTAACAATTGATGACGATATATAATAATTTTGAATCTTGAATGTTTTTTACCTTTCAAAATATAAATAGTTTTTCTTGTAACAAATAAGATCGTAATAATTACAACACATTAAAAGCAAAGGGTTTTAAAGTATTTGTACATTGTTTTTTATATTTGTCAACAGTTTTTTGTTGTAATCGAACTTCTATTTTTTTATAAAATGAGCGCTCAAATAAAGTTTAAAAATATAATGGCATGTGTTTTTTTTTGAAAGTAGAAAAGTGAATTTTATTAATAGTTTTCAATATTATTAGTTTTCAATGTGTATATATATATATATATATATATATATATATATATATATATATATATATATATATATATATATATATATATATATATATATATATATATATATATATATATATATATATATGTATATATATATATATATATGTATATATATATATATATATATATATATATATATATATATATATATATATATATATATATATATATATATAAATATATATATATATATATATATATATATATATATATATATATATATATATATATATATATATATAAATATATA